AAATTATGGGAAAATCTTGGTGGTAAGGTAAAAGGATAAAATTATTACAAAACACAACAAAGGACAAAAGTGCAACTTAACCCTATTTTCAAGCCGGTTAAATTCAATTAAACTCAATAAGAATTTTGCAGGCCAAAAGTTGGACTTATTGCTTTTCACCCCTACTATAGTAGTTACATTTTGATCAAAGATGAAGTACGTTTCTCAGATAAAGGACAAGTAAAAGTAGGATAATCTCATAGGTTCATGGAGAGATTAGTGTAAATGTAGTTGAGCTCAGAAAAATAATTTATATTAAAGCTCTTTAGCTTTAGATGTGATCTTTTCGAGAGACCAAGGATTTGCTAGAAAGCAATTTCTTTACAAACAAAAGACTAAAAGGGCAAATGGTTTAGCTCGTATTTTTACTAAAATAATTTAAAAAAAAAAGAACTTTTTTCCTTTTTTGAACGAACGTTTTTCATATACCACAAAGTATGAATGTTTGCAATCAAACATTTTTAAAAAAATTCAAATTCGATTCGACCTTCAAAGTCAGGCAATGGTCTGCATAGCCTCATATAAATAAATGTTGTCATTTTAACCCTATTAAATTTTAAAATTTACTTTAATAAAAATTTTGTGTGCTGTATGATCAAATAGACTAACTAACTGGCCTAAATATTTATTAATGGTATAAAAATTTATTAAGACTATTTATGCCTAGCAAGAAGTCAGTAAAAAAGACAAATTTCTCATTTCTGTTGCCCGCCCTTTTCCATCTATCCATCTTCCTACATCTCTCATGCATGTCTATAGACTCTATACAAATGACCCTAGCCTCATCCACAATTATTGTTCCATCTATTGTGCTGCCCACCTCGTCTTTATCCATCCATCTTTTCTTCCATGCAATAGTCTCTTCTATTTATCGTACCCCCTTGCCAGCCCTTTTACGCATTTAGCACAAAAAGTTATGCTCACAAGACATGTCAAAGCAAGTCGTCGATATACATTTTTGCTATAAGGTGAGTGCTTATATGGAGTCCATGCACGATTTTCCTGAAGCTGCTACTTAGTCCCCAGTACTTGGGATTGATGTCCTCAAAACTGCAAATTTTGTTGTTTATAACAATTGTTCATTCCTTTCTTGAATCCATTATTCTCTTTGCAACTGTAGTGCGAAGCACCTACGTACTGTATTCTCAATTGGATGTCAACTTACTGCATAAAATGAAAAGTTACATCTAAAAAGAAAACCTTGTTCCTTGTGTATGCAAAAGGTATGTTTGGATTGGCCTACTTCTGAAGAAAAACATGTTTTTTTGATACAAAATTCATAGTAATATCAAAAAAGATCCTCAAAAACACGCTAGAAACCTAAAACACCTAAAAGACGGACAACCATCCTCCCCTATTACCATCTACTCTTCCTCCAGCTCCACCACCGGCCTTTTTCTGACCCCCTACAGCTCTTGTATCTTACCTTACTTGTTGGCCTTCTTCCATTTCCCTAATCTGGAAAGGGAGTGGGAGGGTAGTGGAAGAAGAGGATGCGGGAGGGAAGGAAAGAGTGGTAGGCTAGAGAGGAGAAAAAACTAGGGCGTTGCAAGAGGTAGATAAGAGTAAGGGGTGGCAGGAAAGGGAGAGGTGGGGAAAGGGTGGCTAGGAACAGGGGGAAAAATAATGGGGGCTAGGTGAAAAAGGGTGCCAGAAAGGAGAGTGTGGGGGAAAGAAAGGGTTGCAAGGGCTAGCTGAGGAGCTAAGGGGCAAGAAGGTGGCGAATACTGAAACGTGACAGTAAAGGAAAGCCGGAAAGGTAACAACATTGGTCGTTACTCGTTAGCCAAGACGTTGGGAAGGGCGATGATGGCTTTAAAAACAACCCTAAAAACATCCAATTGTTTTTTTTTTTAAATACATAAAACACATCCGAGATTAAAAAAAAAAAAACTTAAACCAAAAGGAATCTAAAATTTTGCTAGAAGTTATCACTGAACTTCTTTCGAACTAACAAAATTAGGAAGGTTATAAGCACTCCAAAACCATCATTTGCCCTTAAATTGTCTTTTCTTTCTAAGAAGCACCGGTAACATTTACCATTGGAAAATATATATTTGTCGAAAATGATGAGGAAAGTTTAGGCTTAGGTTGACTTATAGAGGCCTACGAGATAGTGACTTAGGCACTTCTATATTATTAACTAAGACAATTTTAATATTCAATTTGGACATTGAATGGGTAATTTTGGAAGTTTACTATCTAGAAATAGTCGAATCATGAGCTATTCTACAAATGATTAACTTTCTATGCATTGATAGTATATACATTATTACTGTTAGATATATAATAATTAATCTAAAATTCAAATTATGTGTATGTATCGTATATTTAATTGTGATAATGTATACATTATCAATATATATAAAATTAATTTATTTTACAGATGAAGGGATGGAAATGGCAAATGGAGCTAATTTTCAACTTCTAATGACAATTCATGACTTCGTTTGAGTGATTTTTCGACTTTAGCTAGCCTGGTAATATGAAAAAAAAAATTAGTGTAGATGGTAATGTGGTAAAAAATCCATATTATGCAACTAAAGAAAATCTTCATTTTACACTTAGTTTGAATTGGGGGAAAAAGAATACATAATTTGGTGATACACTAAAAATTTTCGTCATTTAGAAGGTTTGGATGGAAAGAAAATTATAAAGGAAAAAAATGATAGTAGCGTTACTCCATGAATCTTTTATCCCGGATATGTATTAATCTCAAATCCACCGTTTATTATTCTCACCACCACACGTAAATATATCGTGTGAATTCATATTTATAGTGTATAACAAATACACTATTACATGTGAGTTTACATATGGCAAAAACATATAGGGTGAGGTAGAAATTGGAACACATGATGATTAGATAGAGGATCCGAAATCTTTTTTGACCCATGCACGGATAGAATTTGAGAGAAAGTAAGAAATTTTCAACACAGAAATTCAATATGTAAAATAATATACTTTCTCCGTCCCATTGCTATTGTCATATTTTTCACTTTATTAATGTTCTAAAATAAGAGTTATCATTTCAAATTTAACACATGCTTTTCGATATTGCCATTTGAAAAAACAACTTTTTCAAATTCTAATACACATCTATCAAGAAAACATTTTGAATTCAAATGATACATTTTTAAATTCATCAATGCCACCTCATTTAGACATAATAATTACCATGTCTCCATAAAAAGTTGAATTTTCAAAACATGACTCTTATATTGGGATGGGATGGAGGGAGTAATCATTTTTATATTTGAAGACAAATATTTAAAAGACACAACCTTCTTTATTTTCCTTCCTTTCTCTCCCAAAAAGAAAAGGCCATGTATTTTTTCTTTTTATAAGTTTCATAAAAGGGTTAACCAAAAAGAGAAAAACATTTGGCATAATGTGGCAAGGGTCGCGCCATTACTCCCAATAGGGAGACTATCGACGGCAGCCTCCAATCCTCCACCTCCTCAGTTCTGCCATCTGTTGCTTCAATCCATGACAGTTGCCGTTGCCGCAGTGATGCTCAAGCAGTAGTGGCCATGGATATCGAGATCTGAGTGGAGCTCAATCAGTTAAGCTCGTTGGATAACTTTTGCTCTGAGTCGTTTCAGCCAAATTCTATTCGAAACTTGAAACGGGAAGAAGAAGAAGAAGAAATTTCTTCTCTCGTTTGTTTTCTTTAACCTTTACACTAATTCTATATTTTTTTAGCAAAATGACTCATTGCTTCACTAATTTTATAACAAAACCAATTATTGTAAATAAACAATCTAAAATAGTAATTTATTTATCTATAATATATTAGTTAAATATAAGAGCGAGTATTCGATAGAGCGAGTATTCGACAGTTCTCAAAATAATCTTGTTTGGTAAGCAAGTTTTTGATCAAGTTTGTCTGCTATAATTTTTTAATAACTTTAATTATAGTAATTCTAAAAAAAATTTCAAAATTTTTAAATTATACATTTCAAAATATTTAAAAAAATTTTTTTATAACTTTTACAGTAAGTTACAATAAAATTTTAGACAAATATCAAAAGAACTCACTTGTCAAATGAGACCATAATATATCTATTTACTCGAACTTGACTCGCAAATTCAATCGAGTGGATTGAACTCGACTCGAACTCAATCAAAGCCGAGCAGCTAATCAAGCTACTCGATTGAGTTCTAGCTCTAAGCCAAATAACGGAAGCCCAAATTACATGAGAACAGAGAGCAAAAACGCAAATTTGGAAAATGACAAAAGTGCCAACAACCTTCAAGTCGTAGGAGGAGCGTTACCAAATTTGTCTTTCAAGTGCAATTTTTTTGAATTTCAAACCTTTTGGAGAACTTTTATAATGGGATGATTAATATCCTTCCAAAAACTCCCCTAAGATTCAAAATATTGCCATATGAGATTGCCCCAGTGAAACGTCCAGCTCACTATTCAGCGATATCTCTGCTTCACTATTACTGTACACACGCAGCCACCGCTACACTAGGATAAAACGCACACAGAGACACGCTATAAACTCCATAAACCCTCCTACTTCTATACACAGTCGACGCACGAATTTGTGAAGATACCACGTCGCCGGTGACGAAAGATGAAGGCCTCAATCAAATTCCGCGACGAGCAAAAGCCCTTAGTCAGAGCAAAAATCCCATTAAATGTCCTCAGCTTGCCATTCCAATCAGGAATCGTCGCTGGCGAATCCAAAGAGCTCTCTTTAAATCTCTCCACTTTCTTTGATGCCGGCCCAGCCTTCAAAATCGCTTATCGCCCGAATGATTCTCAAAACCCTTTTAGCTTGATTTGCAAAATCGGAATTGGGAATTTTGGGTCTCCAGTTTCGAGCCCTTTTACCATGAGCGCCGAATTCAATTTTGTTGGCGGTCAAAATCAAAATCAAAATCCTAGCTTTTTTATCCACTTCAAGCCTAAATTTGGGGACTTTTCAATCAAGAAATCACATTCATCCATGGCTTTGGTGAAAAAAGTGGAACCAAAGCTGAACGCCGCTGTTGGCAATGGCGAGGAGGCGCCGCCGTTGGTGAAGCACGGGTATTTTGAGGAGAGTGGGCTCTTTTCGGGTGCGGAGAAAATCGGGGTTTTGCCAGCGGAGTCAGCTGCAGCGGCGACTGGGATAGCGAATAGCATGATGTCTGGGATGGCCGTGAATGCCACGACTGCTTTTCCATTGAGAAGCCGTGCTGTACTGAATTTCCGGTGGGGGCTTAGGTTTCCGTCGGCTGCTGCTTCGGATGGGGTTGATGATGCAGTTTTAGTAGGGAAGAATGTGCGGACGGCTGGGATTTCGTTTAAAAATGTCCCTATGCTTGTGATGGACAAAATCTCGATCGAACACGTAGACAAGAAGGATTCGAAAGATTCTAAAACTGGGTCGGGTTTAAATTTGGCGGGGAGTGATGACGTGGCTGGGGTGTGTTTGGATGTGAGGAAGCAGCTTGAGATTATTCAAGCTGAGAATGGGCTGTTGAGGAAAGCTTTACATGATCTGAGATCAGATATAGCGGCTGGGAAGATGAACATATCCTTGTCGGATGGTAGTGGGGGCCGTGGTGGCAGCGGTCGTGGTGTCGAGGGGAGGGATGGGAATAAATTTGATAGGCGGGGCAATGGTGGTGACAGGAAGCAATCAGAACTTAATGGGAAGAGCATGGAAGGAGACGTGAACGAGGAACTGATGAAGAAGACTTTTGTTGGTGCTACTGTTGTTTGAGCTTGTTTAAAAATTTTATTTACCTTTGGCAATCATTGAAGAGTTGAAAAGGTATCTATAGTCTTTTTGGGAGCTTGTTTAGCTTAATGTAGAGAATGCAGAATGTAGGAAGGAAGAAGTGCTAGTGCCTAGTAATATTTTGCTGGCTTCTTGTCAACGAAGGGAAGTATGTTTGCTAGTTCAGGAAATTTTGTGTATATTGTTTAGTTATTTATGCTTGAAGTGCCCTTAATATGTTCAATTTTAGCTATGTATGAGGATTTCTTTATGCAAATAAGTGCTGGTTCGTTTGTCCAAAGTTCATTGTGCCAGTTAGCATTACTCTTGGTTGCTTGTTATCGTGAGATAAAAATGATTTCTTGTGAATTGTTGTTTTCGGCTGAAATGCTTGCTAAGTCTAGTTGCTTCAAGTCATATAGTTCGAACGTTGATTTAGCTGTTGTAAGGGTGTTCAATGCCAGCTCATTTTGACTGTAGGTTGATTTGGTCAAGTTCTACCTTAACCTATTTGCACGAACATGCCAAAGTAACTGATCTTTTTGATGGCTGGTTGATTTCTGGACTTCCAGGATGAATATTACTTGATTAGCCTGCTAGTAAAAGAGGATAATATCTGATGTTCCTGAGAGTTATGCTTTGGAAAGTCTTTTGCTCCAGGCTCTTCGGGATTCATGCTATGAGATTGGTTAGAGGTAATACTTTAATAACAGTTTACTATGGAATACTTAGCTACACTCCAGTGGGATGAAGCAGTTAACATCCTTGGTCTAAACTTGGTTTGCCAACAACATGACATAGTAAGCATCAAGTTTTGCTTCAGAATTTTTACTGGCTTTTAAAGCTTAGCTTTTGAGAACCTTGGGAAATTAAACTACTTGCTATTCGTTTAATTTGCCCAAACTCTGGCATCTTTCTTCTCCCTAGCCTCTTTTATGGAAAAAGTGTATCTTGCTGTGCAACATTGGCAAAGATTTGAAAACAGTTCATGCGCAGTGAGGGAATTTATCAATGTCAAAATGGCTGACTGACAATTTATAAGACCTTCGCACCAAGGGCTTGAGCTGCTGATCTTGGATTTTGGATTGGGAACTGGGCCTCTGGAATGCTGTCAAAAGTGTAGTAACTGACTCACTAAAAATGGATAGTTTGTTTTGTGTTTACTGGTATATGTCACAGGACGGAATGCCAGTAATATTTTGTTTGACTCACACAGGAAGGTGACTGACGTTTGAATCTAGCATTACTGCTTGGACTCATATACTAGTACGTTTTTTTTGATAATTCATATACTAGTACGTTGGATCTTGCTATCCATTATGATGCCATTTAACTTTGATACCCAGTTGGCTTGTCAGAATTTCACCATTAGCATACTTTTGCCAATTTGCTATAGACAGAAATGAATTCTTGAGGAATTCTTTTATTCAGCCCAAGTGCTTGTGAAAGTGCAGGTCTAGTTTCTTTGGAATTTTCTGAACTCTCTTGGCCTGGAAATACAACAGGGGCAAGTCATACGCTCCAATGTTTTTCAGATACAAACCTTAGTGCCGGCGAAATTGTCTTTGTTCTGGTGATTAGCATTTACAGCTATGAGATCAGGTGGGATTAGGAATTCAATAATTAAGATCCTGCTTATGAATCCAATATACTTGGCTACGATCCTGAGGAATTTGGTCGCTGCAGCTAAATTATTGAATTCCAATATATCCTTGGCTATATCCCACCTGATCTTATTATTGAATCCAATTCAAATATTATGAATCCAATATACTTGAATCAGGTGGGATTAGGAATTCAGTACAATTTGTCTTGCAAATTAAAGAGTTTGTCCAATATTCTTCTTTTTTTTTAACATCACGTGAGTTTCTATTATTAAGGCGCTAAAATTTCCACCCAATGGACATGGTAGTCTATATAGATAATATGTATGGGCATTAATGTCAGTTCACCGATTTTTTTTTATGGAGTTCTAAAATCTGATGTCATTAGGGGGTAAACTGTACATAGTATGAGTTTAGGATGGTAAGGTGTTACTTACCTCCAAGTTCAAGGGGATAAAGTGTAATTAATCCTAAATTTTTGGAGAGATTCTTAATACATATACCAATTAACTTTTTTTTTTATCACACATATAATTTCTAAATAAAATATCACAATAGTACATTTTCATAAAAAAAAAACAAAATGAAAAAAGTCATCCAGAAGATGTAATCCAAATGGAGTTCGACAAGAGGTGTTAAGACATGCTTGGTGGGGAACGTAGACATTTGCCGAAAATTTACATGTAACAATTACCGGTGTTTGTCAAGGATTAGATCAAGTATTTTATTATGATAGACTTAATAAATGTGAGTGCGTCAATTCACGTGTTAAAAGAATTTGCATTAAAATATTAATACGCGTTATAATTTAAAGTGTAGCTCCAAAGTTTTCGTTCGGGTCAAAGAATTTAACAACGGATTTAAAATCCATTCAAATCGATTTAATTGTTTAGATTACTTAAGAAGCATTTTGAATTGTAATTCATCAATTATTTATATACATTTGAAACACTAAAATAATTAGTAATTTACCAATCCAAATGTCGTCCAAATAATCCAAGCAATTATAAAGAAATTCGAAAGGATTTCAAATTCTTTGTCAAATCATCACCACAAACTACTAGCCTAACAGCATAGACGATGCAATGCAAATTGCAAAACTTTTCCAAATAAAAAAAAGAAGGAAAACAAAAAGGATGCAATTCATATTCCATGGTGTAATAAAGCTACCAAAACCAAACCATTCCGAGCCCAATTCAATGCCGTCGGAGATGTATATACAGCACCAGGCCTAGTATTAGCAATTCAACAAGAACGCCGTACTCTTTTTTTAATAAGTAAAGTACTTTCTTCTTTACACTTCTAGCGAGTACAGACCCATCATCCCAACAGCACTAAATTAATAACATGCTCCTCGATGAGTACGTAGTCAAAGAACACGATGAAAATGAACGAATCGCGAAGCAGGACATAACATAAAACACGTCGCCGTTTGATTCTTATCCGAACGGAATCATGGCCGGACCCAACGGAGCCACCGGAGACTACGGCAACGAATCGGAGGCCCCAGCTGAACGACTGGACTCCGACGACGCCGCCCACTGGGGAACATGGGAAGATCTATTGCTAGTCTGCGCCGTCAACCGTTACGGCACCAACAGCTGGGAATCCGTCGCCCTCGAAATCCAGAAACGGTCTACCTCTCCTTTTCTCTCGTTATCGTTAACCCCGCGTAACTGCCAGATGAAATACCTCGACCTCACCCGCCGATTCCTCTTCAAACATGATCCTCGTAATACTGATAACGCCTACAAGGACGACGACGTCGAAGCTGCCGGTCATGATGGTAGTATAATCTCCACGGATGAATCGGTTCCCTTGCTCGAAGAGTTGCGAAAGCTCCGCGTTGCTGAACTCCGCCGCGAACTCGAACGTTACGATCTATCCATCGTGTATTCGTTCCTTTCCCTTCTGCCACCATTTCGTCTATTTTTTGACCTCTTTTTTTTTTTTCCTTTTCATCTGGAGAAATTTTGTGGTCGTCTAGTTTACGGTGGGAAATTGTTGCAGGACGTTGCAATCGAAGGTGAAGAAAATGAAGGAAGAAAGAGAGAGGTGTTCGACAGAGAGTGAGATTAGAGAGGAGAAGGCATCAGTTCTGAGGAAAAGTGAAGAGGCGGAGGCTCCGCCGGAGAGAGATGCCTCTGAAGATAAGGTAAAAGTTATTATGGATGAGCTGGAAAAGTCACCGTCATCGATGGCCAACAACAAGGATGAGCAGTCCGTGAATGGATCCGTTCCCAAGGACGGAAGAGTTGGGGAAATAGAAGCGGGGAGAGACGAGGTGAAAGTGAAAGAACCCGGTCGAATCGGGGAGGGGAATGAAGAACCGGTTCGGACAATGGAGGATAAGCTGGTTAAGGAAGAGGATTCGGGTTATGGAAGTTCAGATAGTGTGGAGAGAGAATACCGGAAGCCTGGACCTGAATCGGTTCCGAACGAAGTGAAGGTAGAACCGGAATCGGTGAGTCACTCACCTGAGTTAGTGGAATCGGTGGCCGAGTCAAAGGATGGTGGTGGTGGTGGAGTGTGTGGAGATGAGGAAGCGACGACCAAGGAATGTAACTCAGACGTGCAAAGCTCAGCGACTAAATCGAGGAGAGATGGTGAAAACGACGACGTGCCTCCCGGGAGCACTAAGAATCTGGATCTCCAAAACGACAATAGTTCTCCACCCGTTAAATTAGAAGCTTCAGTTGAATCTCAGCCGTTAATCGACTTTCTAGATCATGTGAAAGGTCACAAGCTCGGCTCACTATTCCTGCGCCGGCTCGACAGCCAGGTGAATTTATTTATTCAATTTTAGTAAATTGGATTATTTTTGGAAAATAAAAACATAAAAAAGCGTATAGGAAAGGTGATTGGCGATGAGTGATGATGTATAAATTAGGATTTTTTTTTTCTTGGTGGAGACAATTATGTGAGCTGACGTGTCAAACTCAGTGGAGATTTGATTGATTGGGTCTCTGAAACTTGCCCTTGTGGGGTTGCCATCCCACATCGATTCTTGGGGGGTTTGAGGTTGGGTTTATAAGTCCTTGGAGGACCTCAAAAGTTAAGTTGCCGGCTTTTGAGATTTCTTTTGGGATTAGATTTATAATTCTAACTTCCGTCAAAAAAGAAAAAGCCATTCTTAGGAATAAGTCGCAAGAGGCAAATTCCGACAAGGGTAGTTATACTGGGTTTCGTGGGGGGTCATCACTTCTTAGTAGCAGCGGGCCTACTGGCTTGCCCTTGTGGGGTTGCCATCCCACATCGGTTCTTAGAGGGGTTTGGGGTTGGGTTTATAAGTCCCTGGGAGGACCTCAAAAGTTGCCGGCTTTTGAGGTTTCTTTTGGGATTAGATTTATAATTATAGCTTCCGTATAAAAAAAAAAAAAGGGTCTCTAAAACTAATAT